AAATAGAATGGATTCTCCTTTTATGATGATAAAAGTCATAGTAGCTGTAATTATAAAAGGCTTCGATTTCGGCATTTCATTTTTTTTTTAAAAAAAAATTCTTTTGAGAAATGGATTCAAATTTGCCTTCATACTATCAACCCGAAATGGAGCACTATTCCTTTCCTTTATCTCGATCTCGATCTCATAAAAAGGACGCATCAATTTACTCGCCAACGGAACAATTTAATCTCTCGCATCCTCAATCTCGTAAAATAGATGCATTAATTTACTCACCAACGGAACAATTCAATCCTTCGCATGTTCCTCACTCTCGATCTCCTGAAAAAGGTTCATCAATTTATTCGCTAGCGGGACAATTTAATTACTCGCACGTACCTTATTCTCGATATCGTAATGAAGATGCATCAATTTACCCACTAACGGTACAATTCAATCCCTCAAACGTTCCTCATTCACGATCTCGTGAAAAAGATGCACCAATTTACTCGTCGACGGAACAATTCTATCACTCGCACTCTTCTCGTGAAAAGGATGCGTCAATTTACTTGATAACGGAACAATTCGATCCCTCAAACGCTCCTCATTCTCATTCTCGTGAAAAGGATGCGTTAACTTACATGTCGACGGAACAACTCAATCCCTCGCATGTCCCTCATTTTCAATTTCGTAAAAAGGATGCATCAAGTTACATGCTAACGGAACAATTCAATCCCTCACATGAAGAAGATGCATTAACTTACTTATCAACAGAAAAAATTGATTCTCCGAAACTCCTCCTTCTCGATCTCACAGGATTAAACCAAATTTTAAAAAAATTTATCAAAGAATATCTCGATAATATTATAAGCTCTGTTTTAACTAAAGTTCGAAAGAAACAAGTATGAGTCAAAGCTTTTTATGCCTCTCTACGACCTTATTTTTCCCAGCAGTCGTCCAAGACGTACAATGAAACGTTACCAAAATAGTTTTATAACCTTTCGAAAAGATTACCACGCGAGGATGGTAGCAGAGTACGGCCCACAAATAGGATCAAGAATCCAAGAGATCTCTCGCGGGGCGGGTTTAATGTGGAGAAAATGTTTTCCCGAGGATAAATATATGTATGATCGAATTTCAAGGTGCACTAAAAAATTACATGATGAAATGTGTCTAGATTACGATGTCAGTGAACCCGAGCGAAAATAACTATTAACTATAGTAATTAAGGTTATGGTGATGTCAAAGGATGTTCGACAACGTTCTTCTGAACACAGCCGAATAATCCACCTTCCGTGAATGACAATGACAGTTTGAATCGAATCTCCGGAAATCAAAATTCTAATTGCAAAATATTTACTTCAAAATTCAAACTTAGCGAGCAGAATCGGTCGATGACTCAATCGAAAGTCAAACTATGTCTTCCTACGATAAATAATGAGTTGACTCGATTAACAAACACGTTAGAATCCAAGTGTCATACAATACATTAAACGAAACTATGGTTTATTTGGATATCAAGATTGCTCCCTTTTTGCACATATCGATCATTATATTAACATATAGTAAAGAAGGGTCGGATTATTTGTTTATTTATATTTATAATTTTTTATTTTTTTAATAAAATATTGATGGTATGAGGGGAATATCGTATTTCTTTCTTTTTAAACTCAAATAATAATTATGTGGTATTTCTTTCTTTCTAAACTCAAATAACCATTGAGATAATTTCAGAATCAAATAATAATAACAAAGGCTATCGCGCATTAAGAAAAAAGTTATTTTTACTCTAAATAAGATACTGTATTTATTCCAACAATTAGTACATAGTCAAGTTTTCTTAACTTTTTTTATAAGTATGCTGTTGCGATGGTTTCTTCAACCAAACACGGATATCGGTAACATCTGTATATGCATAACAGATCACGTTTGACATAAGTTGGTCAAAGATTTGAAACGTTCGCAAGTATCAACGAAAACACTGTTTATCCGAAAACCTGATCTGTCGTGCCGACGCGCAAGAAGAGTACCGAGAGAATATAAAATATAAATGAATCTATTCACCTTCTCACATACTGTCTTATACCCTCTTAAAGTGCTTACTATTTTTCACAGTTTTCTTGAGGGATTTTGCCTACCTCAGTTTGACCCTGAATTTTTGGTAGCACAATGTCACCTGGCATCTGATTAGTTGACATGAAATACATTACTAACAGAATGCAAACAAGCTTCTATTGGTCATCTCATGTATTCTGATGATGTCATTGGTGATAGAAAAAGTTGATTGGTGCTCCATGTCCACCCCACTCTTCCAATTGAATTAACCTACAAATCAAGTACCATAAGGTCAATAAGATATGAGCAACAAGTCCTCAAGTAGTGAAAAAGTTGCTATTATTTCAAGCTGAGGTCTTTCTCTTCTATCATTCCAGTCAGGCAAAGTTCAAGACCAAGGTCTTCTTCTTATCCCAGTTAGGCAATAAGATCAAACGATCACTAGTCCATGCTAAGCTTCAATCTTTTGATTACAGTTGAGAATACATTTCTCCAGAAGTTGTTAAAGGATATCGCAATCAATAAGGATCCCCACTGCTTTTTTGGTACCCTCTCACCATTGTGAAGCAAAAAGATCTTTGGGGAAAGATTATTTTGAGTAATGGAAGATATACATTAGTAAAATTTTTTTAACTAGGTATGGCTGCTAGAAGGTATCATACTGAAATAACATAATCTAATTTCTATTAGGTTACATAAGAACCTGAGGTCTATCATAAGTCACCCTCCTATTACAAGTGAATAAAAAATCACTGCCCAAAGAAGGTTGGAACCAAGTGTGTCCTAAAAGTAAAGGCTCCCACTAGGCGATAAGTCTTCTCAGACAGTACACAAGAAGGAAATCAAGATCAAAAATGGATAAGTTCCTCAAACAGTCAGAAAAAGAAAGGATATCCCAATTGGGCATTTCTTATTGAGAAGAGGTCTTGAGAAGAAGATCTTTGGAGGAAGCTGGAAATATTTTTTTTTATTTTTTACTTTTTCATTTTCTTGTGATCTACTTAGACATTTTTAGATATCCCTCTCCCCTTTTTTCAACCCATCTTTTTGTAGTTTCCTGTAATCTAGCAGCTTGGTTAGACATACAGCAGTAGTATGTATCATACTGCTCGAATGAAAATGTATTTTTGTTTTCAATTAATTAATAAACTGACAATCTAGCCTGGTTACGGGTACTAAAAAAAAAAAAATAAATAAAACTGTATAAAATATAAATACTTCTAAAATATAGTTATAAAACTTTTTAAATTAATAAATTTAACTAACATATAATCAAAATTCATTTTCTCTTTAAATTTTTTTACCAATCCTTTTCTTTAAGAAATCTAATTAATAATTATAGATAACTAACTATTATTGAACTATCAGCTCTATTTAATACAAACAAACAAAATAAAGTATAATTAGTTAAATTTATTTTATAGATTTGAAAAATCTTATCAATATATTATATATATTATACAAAAAAACAAAAAATTTTGTATATTTTGAATGACAAAAATTTTGAAATAAATATACTTAATTATAATATTAATATCATTTCAAAAAAGAAATTTATTATAAGACCTATGGGTCTATAGCACAGTGGTAGTGCTCCTAGGTTGCAATCACAAGGTCCAGAGTTCGATACCATCTAAGGACCATGTGAGAAAAAAATAATCAGGTTGCATGAGGATGGGACTTCTGGCCTCCCTGTTGATCACCAGGCTGAAATAGGTCTACCACGAGGATTGCATGAAGAAAGGTCTCTGGTCTGATTACATGACTTACGCCCGCACATCCCCCTGAACTGGACAGGAAAAGAAATCCCAGAATCCCACTTTTAGGACTGCGGTAATCGTCTGATAATCTCTAACCAAAAACTATATCGGCAGATTCCGGGAACTGACCATTCTAGCTTGAAATATCCCAATCTGATGCTTGCTTAATTGAAGGACTTGTCAAACAGAATTTGTCTATGATGTCACAGGTGGTGGCAAAGAGGATCGTAATCCTCTCTGAGGTTTAAGTGAAAGTATCAGGGTATCTGAGTGGTTAACTAACCCTTGCAAATTCAATCTAGTATATAAGTTAGTAATAACATATATAGTCCAATTGTAAGATCTACTAACTATATCAAAAATTGCCATTAGACTGTTATCAACCACCAGCCCCTAGCTGAGCCTGTCCCATTTTCGAAGTGATGTGCAGGCTTATCTAGGACAAGCCATGATAGATTATCATTAATCTGCATGTATATAGAAAATATATAACTTGTATGAGATGATTGATGTTATGCCAAAGGACCAAGTGTCTAAGTTTGAGTTAATTCTTAATAAAAGGCTCGTATCTAATCCAGTTGCGGTTAACAAGAAAAAAAAAAAAAAAGAAATTTACTATAAAAGTTTATTTTACTGATAATTACTACAGTATATTAATAATATCGAACAAAAAATATATCATTAACTTTTTCCACTGATTTTTTGACTATACACAAAAAAGACATTTGCAAGAAATTTTTAATACTTCTTTGCTAATAAAGTCTTAACACTTTCCTTAATCCAACCTGAAGGAAATCTTTAGAAGTCACAAATACCTTTTTCCTCTTGTTTACAATCAACTTTAGATAAAATGAACTCTTGTAACTTACAAAGTTTAGTTCATATTTTTACTATCAATAGCAAGAAAGTTCTTTAAAGGGAGAAGGACCACTAGTAAAGTACCTGTCACTACTCTCCTAAAGTAGAGTTACAAAACAAGATAGAGATTTTTCTCTAGTTAAAAGACTTATCCTTTCCTATTTGACTAGTTCTGTGGTCTCTAAGAAATTCCCACTTTATGGCTTTTTGGAGAATTTTGTCTACTCCAACTTGATCCTGAATTTTTGAGTAGCACAAATCTTACTGATTTTGATTGGTTGATATGAAACACATTGGATAAGATTGATAAACAAGCTCCTATTGGCCACCTCACATGTCTGAATATATTTTTTCAGCTCCATAAGAACCTGGAGTCCACCATGAGTTATATGTATTGATACAGATAAATATAAGACACAACATCGTCACATTATTGAATACAAAAAAGAGCATATCTATTTATAGACCAATCATCTGATCAAGATATAAAAAAAGAACTAGCTCATTTATATTTGCTGATAAAGACAGGTTTCAGTCTAGTACGATGCTAAAAATATAAAACAGGTTATAGATAAGCAAGAATTGAGCAGTATAATATCCTTTATACAAAACCAAATTCCAACCAAATAACAAGATAGGCTGAGACACAAGATAAGAAAAATCTATTTTTTTTCTTTTTTCTTTTCAAGTGCTAACAAGATTTTTTTGTATAAGAACTTTTAATATTAGTGGTGTTGGACATCTTATGTAAGTTTTTGATACATTAGTTTTTCTCAATAATGAATAACAACAGGTTATCCAGTAAGCCAAAATCCTAGAAGATGCCACTTCCAAAAGTAGATTAACAATTGGATTTACTTCACCTAAAATGAAGATACAGACTCCTCCATTTCCTATTACTTAGTTAAAGTTTAGAGAAAGTTCTATACTAGACAGTTACATAGTTACCCTATCCTGATTAGGTGAGATGTAAATAGATACTCATTTGTACTATTCATTAATCTGTGAATATCTAGACAGCAAGAGTAATTAATTATCTTGATTATTCCTAGAACATATTTTAATTTTAATAAAGCATCATACTCTTTCCCGTAGATCCTTTTTTTTTTTCAAAAATTTCCTTTTATGGTAATTTTTGGAAAAAGTCACAAAAAATCAAATGGCAAAGAGACAAACACCATGGAGTGGACCAAAAGGTCACAATATACAAACAGCAGGCCTAACTACAACTTAGACAAGCTCACCAAGGGAAAGGCCACCCCTATCGACAATAAAAAAGCAACT